CAAGTCCCAAATCTATGGCAACCCCAAATCCCAGGTCTACGGCAACCCCAAATCCCAGGTCTACGGCAACCCCAAATCCCAGGTCTACGGCAACTCCCAGTTGCCATAGGATTGTCAGAAGTTGGCAGCAAACCCAAATCCCAAGTCTACGGCAACCCCAAACCAGGTCTACGGCAACCCCAAATCCCAGGTCTATGGCAACTCCCAGTTGCCATAGGATTGTCGGAAGTTGGCAGCAAACCCAAATCCCAAGTCTACGGCAACCCCAAATCCCAGGTCTACGGCAACCCCAAATCCCAGGTCTACGGCAACGCCAAATCCCAGGTCTACGGCAACCCCAAATCCCAGGTCTACGGCAACCCCAAATCCCAGGTCTACGGCAACCCTAAATCCCAGGTCTACGGCAACCCCAAATCCCAGGTCTACGGCAACCCCAAATCCCAGGTCTACGGCAACCCCAAATCCCAGGTCTACGGCAACCCCAAATCCCAGGTCTACGGCAACCCGAAACCCAGGTCTACGGCAACCCCAAATCCTAGGTTTATGTCAAAATAGAAATCAAATAGGTTCAAATGGGCTTGAGGGTCCAGCTGCCAAGTGCACAGCTGCCTGGATTAAATGGCCTGAAACCAAGCTGTTGAACAGTAATCCACGGTCCCTGATCTACAGAAAAGTCAAAGTAAGATGCAAATGTGGAGTGCCTGAGGGCCAAGCTGCCAGATGCCAGATTCAAATCGAAATGCCTGAGGGTCAGTTGCCAGAAGAACTGGGTGGAATCTGAAGATGCACAGTTATCAGATTCAAATGCAAATGCCTCAATGGGCCAGTTGCCAGATGCATAGCCAGTTGCCAAAGAATGCTTGAAAGTGAAGCTGCTAGATAATTAAACCAAAACGCCAGATCTACAGCAAAGCAAAAAAATCAGACGCATGTGCCAGTTGCTTAGATGCATAGTGCCAGTTGCTTAGGGCCAAGCTTCAGGGCCAATCTGCGAGTCTATGGAGGCCTTACAGTACAGCAGGAACCTGGAACAGAACTCTGTTATAAAGGCAGTCTTAAGGACAATAAAAGCCTATTCTGCCAATGCTGAGCTCCTTTTTGGCGCTGCGGGACACTGCTCTGAATTTGGTGCTACTTCCAATTCACCAAGATTGCCAGAACAATGGCCGCAACTATGTTTGAAGTAAAAGCGTTGCCGGCCAATTCCTGACTTTGCCTTTGGTCAAGTCCACCAAGACCTGCTTTCTCTACTTCTTCTGGGCCAAGTCCTTGCAACCGCAAGTAGAGGTTGCCAGTCACATTGGAGTTGGTGAAGCAATGGCCTTGAAATATATACAGATATTTCTTGGTAGGCAGAAGGCAAGGGTGGCAGGTGGAGTTGAAACGAACATAGTTGAGGGAGTCCCCAATGTTTGCAACCAGGCAATCCTGGTCCACAGGGTTCTTGATGTTCTTTCGCATGTGCAGGGCCAACTTCAGGATTGCACATTCAACCTCCCGCTCAGTGAGGTTCAACTTGTCTTTCTGCTGCACCAATGCCTTCTGAACTCTGGTCTTCATCTCTGAGTCCGCAATTTTCCATTTTTCTTTGAAAGCAGCATGCTGTTTTTTCCATACAGGTGGTTTCTTGGGTTTGTTTTTGTTCTCCACCTTTTTCTTGTCATTCTTTCTTTTTTTGGCATCTGACATCTCATCAGCAAGCATCGCAAATTTGGCATCTGACAAAAACTTGGCAAGAACATCTGGCTTGTCAATCTTGCAACTGGCCACAAAATCCCAAACTCTTTGCACCTGCTTCATGTGAATCTCCTGGCCATGCATGCCGAACCCTGCACTTCGCATCACAAAAACACCGTAAGTTCTTGACCTGCTTTGGGGGAGCCCAAAGTCACGAGTGTTGAGCAGGTTCCATGATCCAGCGTATCCTAGCTCTGCCAGTTTGTCTGTTGCAACTTTCGTTCCTTTTTCATTGACAGCCTTGCGCAGCTTGTCCAGCGCGGCCACACACTCCAGCATAATGAAGCGGGGTCTTGCATCCATGCCACATGAAGACAATACGTCTAGCATTTCCATGAAACTGGAGCCGCTTCTACCCTCTCTGTCCAAAATGGAGCGAGGAGTGGTTGTCAGGGGACTGACATCATCGCATTCGATGGCTCCGATCCAAAGGTCTACTTTTGGTTCTTTCAACCCATTCAGCTCTGCAGTCCTTGATTTGAACAGTGCAGGTGCGGCATGCTCTCCACCACAACTCTTATGCACTTCCTGGCAAAGAGCTCTCTTCCATGCCACCATTTCACTGTAGAACACTGTTTGGCAAGCAACTGTCAAACCATGTATCTCTGTGATCTTGGACTCCAAAGTTTTTGAAGCTATGGTACCCGTTGCCATCCCAGCGCAGAGCTCACCAATGTTCAATGTGTGCTGACTGCGATGTGCCCGCAAACAATCAACATCTTTCGAGTCCAGCTTGTCCACAATCCAAGTCACATACCTCATCAGATTCGAAGGCGCATCAGGACTGGCTTCACCTTCACTGTGTTCTCGTTTTTCACCTTTTCGGCATTTCCATTGCACTTCTTGTAGTCGAACTCTCTTTGTTTCTTCTGTCTCTGATGTAGCTTCGCTGGCAGACCTGTCAACGGCAAACCCATCAGAACAACCGCGGCTCCCACCGCCGCCATGATGGCCACGGCTACTGCTGCCACCGCCACCGCGACCGCCACTGCGACCGCCGCCGCGACGACCACGACCGCGACGACCACGACCGCGGGATGGCGCCGCCTCTGGCTCAGAGGTTGACACACTGCTGCCTTCTGATTCGGTCATCTTGAGCCATCAAAAAACTGTTTCGAAACACAAGTTGCAAGGTGCACCTTGTTTAATCAGCATCACCGAGTTTGCAACTGTATTTTCCCTCAGTAGATCAGGGCAGGTGGAAACACAGCTGCAATAAAGGAAGAAATGCAAGAAAGGCATCACATCATCACCACAAACTTCGATGGTGTGGAACTAATTCAAGCGCCAAACATTAAATTACAATTCAAACATAACCAGTTCACAAAGAGCGACTCTCCTAAGGATGGGAGCTGTGACAAACACGGGCACGCAAGGCTAACCTTTTCTTCCCTGCTCCGCAAATGATGCGCTGCATCTACAGATGCTGAACCCCAAAAACATCTGACCATTACAAATGATCAGCATGTGTCCATCACTTGTTGCGGAAGGGCATCTTCATGGGCACTGCATCCTTGTTCTGCTCCAACCATTTTCCACTCAAGAACCTGGCTTCCCCAAAGTAATCGGATTTCGTCATGTTCTCAACACCCTCCCATTTGTCTCGGCAAAATTTGTAGAAGCTCGGCTCTGACTTGGCTGGGTGCACCAAAAAAGGCTTGATGAGATCATCATACGCCTCAACAATGGCCTCCCAGATCATCAAGAGCTTTTCATTCTTCGGCGGAGGCTTGCTGGCAAAAGTCGATTTGCCTCGTTTGGCCAACCTCTCATCATCAGCATCAGAAGCTCGCTCCTTTCTTTTTGGCAACGCACCTCCATCAGCAACTGGCTTTTTCCCTCCTTCATCTGGCATCTTGACGTCATCATCTGGCATCTTGACGTCATCATCTGGCACCGTGTCCACAACAGGATCTGGCAACTTTGCATCATCTCTTGGTGAGGTTGCAGCATTCTTCATGGCCAAGTTCTCCTCACCGATCTGCTGGCTCTCTTCAGCCACTGCATCAAAGTCTTGAATGGCCAACAGTCTGGGTTTATCTTCCAGATGCAGAGGTTCCTGCTTGCCAGGAGCTTGAGCATGATCTGCCTGTAGCACAAGGTCTTCCCACAAGGACATCTGACGCTTCTCTGTAGAGTCAAGTTCTCCACGTAGATCTTGACTTGCGCTTGGGGTCATGACTTCCTCTGCTGTTGGATTCCAACTCAGAGCACAAGGCTTGCCAGATGGCTCAGCTATCTCAGGCTGTATTTGAGGCAGCCTGTCCTTGAAGACAGCGTCGAAAGCCGCTTGCCCTGCCATTGAGCGAGATTTAGTGGAGGAGCGAACGCAAGATTGGTCTTGAAACTGGATGCTCACGATGCACATGAGCAGTGCAGCAGGAAGCTGTTGCAAATGACTCTTGAAATCAGTTGAACATCGCTACACAATCTGATCAGTTGATTGGCTATCAGCTGTGCCTGGACGATTGTGCGCCAAGCCTGTCAGCAGCAACAAAATCACAACAACTCATTGTCATCTGCACCTGTGGATGCACTGCCAGTCAAAGGAAGTCAAGACTGCACAGAGCATGTCAGGCTTGCACCAGGCCTGTCGCGGAGTAAAGAGGTTCAAGCCTGGCTTGCGACAGGGCAATGACAAAAAACATGGAAGTCAAGACTGCACAGAGCATGTCAGGCTTGCACCACGCCTGTCGCGGAGTAAAGAGGTTCAAGCCTGGCTTGCGACAGGGCAATGACAAAAAACATCAAAAAACACACCAAGTGGCCACTGTTTGATCATGACAAGTTTGACAAAACTGACCCTCTGGATTGCAGCTGATTTTTTCTTGGCGATTCCAATGGGTCTGTTATTTGCAGAACAAACTGCAAAGACCAATTGTAGACTGCCTTGTTTCTCAGGCAATCAATTCAGTTGCTGAGTGAAAAAATCCATCTGGCAGCGAACATTTGAGACAACTGACACTGGTCATCTCCTTCAGGTTTGCTGTCTTGAAAAGTTGGACAGCTGGGACAGCTCACCTGGAACTCCAGCTCTGACCGTGATTCCGGGACCTTTTGAAATTCTTGTAGTAGTCATAGTTCGAGGAATCTGTCCGGATCCAACCGAGCTTCTCATTGACATGGCACATCACCACTTTGGAAGCTGCATTCGGCCCCGTCAGTTGTTTGTCTGTAGTGAGTTCACCTTAAGTTCGGGAACATCACATTGAAATTCTGAACCTTGGAATTTGGAAAGAAGGCAGACAGCCAAGTAAGCAAGTTTAAGCAAAGGGTCGGCCCAGTTTCGTCGCTTGATTTTTTGCATAGTCCCTGCCCTCGTCATTGTACATGGCCAGGTTCAGACATGCCTGGGCCCACTGAAAGCATCTGACAACAACCAGATCAACAGACAAACAAGTTGAGCCAAGATACAGCACAACGAGGCAGGCACTTCCTGTCGCAGCTGCTGCCTCACCTGAGGGATGTCCAGTGGCAACAACTGCGCATTCGTGAAAATGATGTGCATCCATGGCAAATGCATCCATGGCAAGTGCATCCATGGTACCCACTCATCAGGTCCGTCATCCTTCTTCTGAGTCTGCTTGGGTGTGGCTTTAAGGCACTGTTCAAGGTCTGCATTGGCTGCCCGCAAATCCTCTAGCCAATACAGCCGGGTATCCTCTAGGTAGTTCTGGATTGCAACACCCAAGTCCTCCACCTCATTGTGGGAGACGGCCCCTCCAATGCATTGGATCCTAGCAGGCAGCAAAGATTCAAAGGCAACTGATTACCAAACACCACAGAAGCTGTCAGATGATAAATGCCAGATGCTGCTGTCAGATGATAGATGTGAGATGTCATCAGCTTCTTGCAAGCAAGATTCCCGCGGTCATCCAAGCTAGGCAAATACAAAGCGCAATCCAGCATCCACGCAAGGCAAGAGGCAACTGTCATAGAGCGATGCCTGCCTTTGGAGCCTGAGGCACTGGGGCAATGACTTTGCAAGATTGATTTTCAAATAGATTGAAATGTTGACCATTGATTTTGAAAGATAGAGCTAGTGCATTGGAAGGAGCAAGTGATCGAGAGGACCAAGAATTGGTTTGTGGATGATTGGACCCATCCAGCAATTGTGGATAGCCACTGACCCAGTAGTTCCTTGCATTCATCGGACTGGCACATCTCCTCCAAAGTGTACTGGCCATTGGGGTCTGATTTCCACGTTGACCTCACATCCGATTGGATAATTGCAGCATCACCAAACTCTTGGATCAATTTGTATGGCACGCATTCACGCCCCAGCTTGTAACCTGACCCAACGCGGTAGCGGAAGTCGATGCCCCATGAGACAATGGAGATTTGCTTGTTGGCCAGGTCCAATTGGCGCTGAAACTTGCTGGGCCACGGATTCGGATCTGACATGGCTTGAATTGAAAGTGATCGAGCAGACTTCTGTCATAGGAACATGGATAGCGAATGTTTTGATGTTGTGCAAGTCTTGATGGCTTCTCAATGTTAAAATGGCGTTTATAATTGCCTCTTTTCTGATCAGAACACATGACAGGGAATGCCAGCAACTGACATCTAAAATGGCAACAGTGCAGTGGTAGGCTCATGACAGGCGAAAGGAGCAGCAATGAGACCAAGTGCAAGCAAAAGCAATGCAAAAACAAGTCAGTTCGGCCATGAAGAGCTGCTCGCAGCCATTGACCATGTTAGACCTGCTTCCACACAGAATGGAAATTCAGCTGAAATGCAGGGGTCAGGACAACTGGAAGTGGCTTTTACCGCCACAAAACAAACATTGCATTCAATTGATTCCCCGGACAGCCTGACTGAGCCTGAACAAGCAGGATCTGCTGCAATGTTCCCGCCTTGAAGTTCACACTTGATTCTGAAACTACAAAGAAGAGAAGGGAAACCTGGAACAGCAAGTGCATTTTGAGTCCTGCCTCTTCTCCAGCATCTTGCATCTGGCACATGTTTGTCTCCTAACAAAGGACTCACCAGCAACTCACAAATTGGCAAAGCCGCAGGATGCTGCAGGTGGAAAAAGAACGGTGGCTTCAAGCAGCTGAAAGAAATCAACTTGATTTCTGCATCGAAGAACCAAACCTCAGCAGGACCATGATGCTGTTGCATGGATGGGCGCAAGACTGAATCTGAAATCATGTTGGAATCTGAGGCATCATGTCCTTCACAGATCAATGGAAATCTGAGATGTCCACTTTGGAGGCACTTGCTTCATGGACAGAACCAAACCTGAGGTCTGAGGTGTCGAAAATGGTCATGGTCAAGTCCACAGACTGGCGCAAAACTGCTGGAGTTCATGCTAGAAACTATAACTAAGGCATGATGCACGTCACAGATCAGTGGAAAACTGAGATGTCCACTTTGGAGGTTCTTCTTCCTGGCAAAGAATGGAAATTGACAAATCTTCCTGGCAAACAAGGCTGGAAAACAAGCAGACCAACAACTGTTTGATCCATCTGGCATCATGTGGCATCCACAACTGCACTCTACCGCTCAATTTTTGAAATCATCTGGCATCCACAACTGTCTGATCCATCTGGCATCATCTGGCATCCACAACTTTGTACAGCTACACATCATCATCATCACCATACCTGACTCTACTGGACATTGCACTCAAACCAGCAGCAACACAGTGACGCTTCAGGTTCAGAAAAGCATCATCACATTGAACTGAAAATGATTTGCAACACATTTCTACACAGAAAACATCTGTTGCAAAACAAGTTGCATATCACGCAAGTTGTACCTCACAAGCAGAACAACGAAGAACACCTCCCTCATGAACTTCAACTTACCCCTCTCATCTCGATCAGCCCTTGATCTGCCAGGCTTGTTGCGAAAGGTCTCGCAATACCTGAGAGACAAACAATAACCATACACTATAAAGAAGCCGTCACACAAGAAACCGTCACACAAGAAACCGTCACCATTGCACCGGGTAGCGAATAGATGTCCGTCCTCCAAGCAAGTCATGGAGCCACACAGTGTGTCTGACAGGACATGACACAAATCCAAGTGTCCTCAGAAACCTTGCCGTCGTGTGCAAGCGGGCTGCAGTGTAGTCAATATGTTCACGGATCCTCAGACGGGCATTGGACAAACCATGTGAAATCAGCATGATGATCAAATCACGAAGTGCAACAAACCATAACCAAGTCTCGAGATCTGCACATCTTGGACATCCCAATCTCTCGCAGGATACCCACTTGGAAAGATGCGATGTTCGTAGACTCAGCTGCAGACACGACAGTCATAGCTCCAAACCAATCACTGAATCATTTTCCACTGGAGTTATAGAACCAACGAAACAGTTACTGCGAGACACCTGAGTCAATCCATGAGAGTCTTCGCTGCTTGGACAGAGTTTTGTACTTCTTCAACTTTGGCAGCAAAACATCAGGCAAGCTCAGTGTACCAGTGCTTTTCCTGTGAAACCCAAGAATGGAATTCCAAAACAGTAGTGTGCATGGTGAACGGAACATCTCAGGACAGCTTTGCCAAGTCTCTTTTTAGGTGGTTTCAACGAAGCTGGCTTCTTCATAACTTTCATCACCGCCATGATCACTGCGAACCCAAAACCGCTTGTGCAGAGCAAAGGTGCTGCAACAAAGATCACCAAGTAGCCAATTCAATTGCATCAAGATGTCAGTCAAAGCAATCGAAGGGGTCAAAGAAACAGGCATCAAACATGTCAGGCCTGCCAACAAATGGAAGGATATGGAAGGAAACAGCTGCAAGGCATGGTGACCTCTGTCACAAACGGCTAGAAGAATATCTGCAAAACAATTCAGTGACTCAACTGTACTAATAGTGGAAATACACAGTCAACTGCACGATGTTGCGTTTCAGGTGCAAGTGGGTCAAATGAGACATGAAAAATGAGTGTCAGTTGCCAGTTGTTGACATGACTGTTGAGCAAAGACACGTGATTTGCGGCCAAGCACAGCGAAGGCATGGACTGGATCAAGAATCTGAGCTCACAACTCCTGTGAATGCAGAACATCGGGGCACAGCCTCAAACATTTTCAAAGCCAATGTGCAAAGCCAGAGTGCCAGGGTGCAATTCCTATTAAACAGCAAGCAAGGCAAAAAAATGGAAACATTGCCAAAAAATGCCAAACAGTGCGTGTGGAAAAGCCACATCCTGCATCTGGCATCTTGCAACTGGGGCCCAGACAAGCCTCACTGCAATGGCTGCTTCTGGATGTCTCCTGCAAAACCGGTTGGAAACTCTTTGCCACATGCATCCAACAGAGAAAATTTCAGAAAATTGATCTCTCTTTGGAAGCCATCCTTACAGACATTTCACAGGTTGACAACCACTGAATGCCTTGTACGGAAAGAAGTCACGGGAAACGCCTGTTCCAGCAACGACACAAAGAAAAGAAAACTTGACCAATTTGCTGTAATGCATAGAAAATCATTTAAATGCTGAACGAAACAAATCCTGCAGCTGCAGCTGGTGAGGCCTCGTTTTCCCTTTGATGCATCTACAATATGTGTCAAAACACACAGGCACAAATTAAAAAGAATTGTCCCATCTGACAACTGATGAGAACCAACTGACAGCTAACAACTGACAACACGTCAACTCAACGACTATCATCTGACAAGGGGGCCGAAAGTTTTTCAATTTCATGAAGGCATGCTATGCTGAAATCTTGCTTCTTCTGCTTGGAAGTGGTGATTTGACCTCCATAGTCACAGCCACAGTCCCATGCTGTTTGCAGCAAGCACCACCTTTCTTTCGGCGACAAAAATTTGCACAAATACGCATGGTAGCACACAGCGCATGCCCGGTCATGCTTCACTGACTCCAGGAAGTCCACGATTGCGATTGTATTCTGTCCCAAAACCATGGCACAGTACGCTGAGGCAGATTTCAGTTACTTTGAGCAGTCAAATGCTTAGAAAGAAACAGAAACAATTCCAAAGGACTGCAGCGTTCAGTCTCACAACTGAAACTTACCCTGCCTCATACTCGTCCATCCAAAGTGCGATCCTGTCATTAGGTGATAAACGACCATATTTCATCATCGAACATGCAAAGCTAAAGCTGCTGAATCATTGATGCAAAGTCTGATTATATAGTCAGTTGATAAATTGGCCTGCCTGTTGCCCACGAAGAAGGATCCAGAAGTGGAGGAAGAGAACATCAGACACAATTGAAAGCTTCCCCCTGAAAGGAAGCAATGGAAGCAACAAGGCACCACGGGTGATCACACACAGTCATATGACCAACCGAATGTTTCAGCAAAGGAAAATATCTCGACTATGATGACGTTTCAGCATAAGGTTGTTGAAAGTTCCCTAGTTGATGCTTCAAGTCTGAATGCAGAGCAGATTCTGCCAGTCAGTTCGTGAAAATTGAATGTTTTTGCAATATTTTCCCCTGCTCGTTTAAAAACATTTGAGCAGGCGCAAAATGTTTTTGAACACTGAAAAAAAATTGGTATTTGAAAGACAGTGCTGATAAATTTGAAACATCGATTTGGATTTGCTTTATTTGAAGAAGAATGGTTCTGACATCAGAGCACTACTGCAGCTGATAGCAAGATGAAATTCATAGCATTCAACAGAGGGTAGCCAACTATGAAGCCCTTTTGCATTGCAGCAGATAGGAGCAGTCAGTGCCACAGCAGGTGGCAAGAAGAAATCCATAGTATTCAACAGAGGTAGCCAACTATGAAGCCCCTTTGCATTGCAGCAAATAGGAGCA